AAACCCTTGGTCAATCCAGAGGAACTTAAGTGTTTCACGTGCACAATTATAAGTACGCAAGAAAACAGTTGTGGATAACAACACATCCACTGAAAAAGAACAAAGTCACAAAGTCAGACATCGACTGTCCCTTAGTATTGATCAAGGGAAGCCCATTCCTCAAGGACGACCTGCAATACCAAACAATGTAACGTTCCCACAACCAAGTGGCTGAGAAGATGTTTGACTGTCTCAAATGCAGCTTTAGCTGGCATTCTGCCAAAATGTATAGATTCGTTCAAAAGGGGCATTTTTACTTGCTGCGATGTGAAAGATCACATGAAGACCTCTGGAAAGAGATCATGGTCGCTAATGACGAACTATACCAGTACGTTCCGTACCAAGTCTGAACCTACCACCAAATAAACAATAGCTATAGTCGCTGTAAAGACAATTTATTTACCCCAGAAGTTGAGGCAGTCTAGATATTGATCCAGCCAGTAAGCTGGGATGGTCAGTCCCAGTTGACCCATAAGGATAAATATAGTCAGTCCAGTCAAACCTGGTTACCAGCGGCGCCACGAGAAGGCTTGATTTGGACAGTGAGAGGCTATGTGGTGCACATCACTGCTCTGTAGCCTACACCCTATCTCAGAAGGTCCAAATCAAACCCTGCGTCTCCTCTCATAAAATGGTCAGTTTTGGAAATTCGATCTTTCCAACTTCAAGGCAGCACAACTACTCCCGCCATGCTTCCGTCACAGCCATCTGATATCCCGTAAAATTCTACACCTTCTTGTGCACCTTTGTCACTGCAATGGTATCAACATGACATTTATAGAAGAGAACACCTGCCCACATACAGTTCTAGTGGTTTGATGTTATCTGGAGATTGAAATGATTCCACATCTGCCGTGCTAGATCACCGGACCTGAATCCCTTAGAGCAGCAGTTCTCAACCTTTTGACTAATGCATACCATCTAACAAAAATTAAAAACCTTTAGTACCACCACTACAAAGTACTACTACCACCACCACTCTTGAACAAAGTTCAGATCACATAAATTTACGAGTGTTAGAGAAAAAAATCAGGATGTTGGGGTTTAAATTTTTGAATTTAATGGTTAAAAATACTTTGCTTCTTTTAACAAACTTAAGAATTATAATACTTAAAATAATTGCAAAAAATGAATGAAGCTTTGGCTATAAATGGAAAAGCACAGATAGACCTCAGAGGAAAATGTACAGTTTCTGAGGAAGGTATATCTAAAAGGATCAAGTGTACAAGCTACCTAGAAAGGAGAAAGCCTCATTATTCCTTAAAAAGTGTAAGAAAATGTACCTTTTCAAAAGTGTTAAATATCGCAAAATTACACGGCATTGTGTTGTATGATAAATTCAGAGATATTTTTTATTCTAACTTTGACATTAAAGTCAGTTACCAAAGAAAGGTTTGGTTTGGTTTATTCGATAATGGCAAAACATGCTAGATTTCTGCCTACACCTAAGAAAAGATGCTTGTAGTCTTTCTGATGTACACTGCTGGCCATTAAAATTGCAACACCAAAAGGGAATGATCTGAGGAACGGGAAGGAAGAAGAGGTTGAGATATGCAAGTGATTAGTATTTCAGTGCATTTAGATGATGCAGAAGGGAGAAATGACATCTGAAGCAGTGCATAAAAAAAGTGTAGTGGATTTCTCATTCAGAAAGTGCTTTGTAAGGTCAGAGTTAGCTCAGAATATTGTGTTATGCCTTGAATAATAATAAGAAATGCTTACCAGCAAGTGGTAGAATTCGATATTGCCCATTGCACTGGTCAAAATCCAACCACTGTCATGCAAATATGGAGTGATGTTCACAGCATGCCCAGTATCTGCTTGTATGGTGCATTGATGTTTGCAGCAGTGTGGACTATCAGCACAGCGATCATTACGTTGGGCTTCCCTTGACAATGCAACATAGAGATAGCAGCTCTGGTGCACCAAATGACAAAGCTGGATACAGGAGTGGAGTGGCACAATGTCATCTTTTCGGATGAGTCCCGGTTTTGCATGCAGTATTCTGATGGCTGTATACGAGTCAGGAGGCTCTGAGGAGACCACAAGTCACCTGGTTGCATTCGATATTGGCATAGAAGCCCTGCACCTGGTGTGATAGTTTGGGCAGACATTGTGTACATGGCATGCACATCTCTAGTTTGGATTGACGGTAATTTGAATGCAAATCGGTAAATTTCTGACATCTTAGGTCCAGTGGGTTCTGTCCTATCTTTAAGGCCGGCCAAACGCCATCTTCAGCAATATAATGCAAGACCACATGTTGCATGTTTTGTTCTGACATTCCTCAATACACAGGATATTCAATTGCTGCCCTGGTCTGCACAATCTCCAGATCTGTCACCCATTGAAAACATCTGGTCATTGGTAGCTGAGAGACTGGCCTGCCACCCCTCTCCAGCTAATACAGTTGATGAAGTGTGGTATAGACTTATACCACACTTCAGAAGCAGTGTGGAATGTAGAAGCAGTGTGGAATGAGTTGCCTGTTTCTGTCATCCAAGCCTTGTTCGACTCCATGCCTAACCAGGTAAGAGCCGTTTTAGCTGCCAGGGGTGGCAGCTGTTTCTGCTTATTTCACACCCTTGTAAACCCCCAAACTGCTTACAAATTTAATTATTTTGTCTTCATGTCGTACTATTTGCGTACATTAAATATCTCTTCTGTATTTGCTTTCCTTCATGGTGTTGCAATTTTAATGCCCAACAATGTAATAAAACAAAAATTGATGTGGTTGTCAAAAAATCAGGAAACCCATTGAAGAACAGTTAAAAACAAAACTGATTCAACACCTGAAAATTAAAGTGACAGAAAAAGAACTTTATTTGAGGATGAACCAATTATCACAGCAAAGAGCATATTTGTACACTAACAGAAGAAACTGCGGAAAAAATTTTTAGTCACCATGAAAATATGTCTCTCTCCTGTTTTGTATGTATATACAGTCAAAAGTCGTTAATTCGGAGACACCGTAATCCGGAATGATCTATAATCCGGACCTCAAAGCTACAAACTTTCTGCGCATGCGTCGCGTTCACGGATGCGCACAGGCGTTTAAGAGTGCGCGTAAGACCTTTACGTCTGCGAATATGTTTGTGCGCATGCGCGTTTAATGTGTAACGGAGGTATAAGCTAAGCTAAAAATTCAGTTAATGTTGCAGATTGCGTTGTTCCTTAATCTTCGAATTCGATCCGGCTTATTATTTTTTGCAGACTGTTAGAGCAATTTCATAAAAGTAAGCTTGAACTTTCGATTATGTCAAATAGAATTTCCGATATGTATTTACTAATATGTAATTTGTATCTACAAAGCGAAAGTATGTTTTGAAATCCGAAATCTGTTTATCAATTTCACGCGGCGGATTGGAAGTTGATCTGTCAGCACTATCCTTATCTTCAGGGCAGATGGTATACATTTTATTTGGCTTATAATTCCTTACTAAGTGTAGTATTTCATCTCGATGTACTCCGTCTTTGATATGATTTAAATCAAGTTCCTCGTCATTATAATTCGCTTCCGATAGTGAAGAAAGTGACCCAGAGGTTATTGAAAACGAAAACATTTCGATTGACAAATTAGTCGGTATTCTCAACACAGCAATTATAGGACTTGAACAGTGGAACTTTGTAACTAAACAAGAAATTATGTCTGTTTAATAGAATTAAAGAGAAAGTATTATCACATGAAACGAAGCAACTTACATTGAAAGAAATGCTTAATAAAGTAAACAAATAAATATTAAGCTTTTTCTTTTTGTAAATTTTGGTACCCTTTAGATCATAATTGTTCTTTATTTCATAAATTACGGTTTCATATTTTTAATTTTGTAATTTCTGCATGCCATCTTATCAGATTTAAACTGATGATCTATAATCCGGAAAAATCGATAATCCGGAATCGCCGAAGTCCCGACGAGTCCAGATTAACGACTTTTGACTGTATATATTTTTTATACAAATTTTGTTAAATGAAGTTTGAAAGATCGTTAAAAATTTTTGTATGATTTTATAACAATATTTTCTTTATTATTGAAGTTACCAGAACTAAAAATTCTTTTTTTTTATTTTAAATTCCTGCAAGTGGACATATATGGTTCCATCAAACAGATTTAATTGAGCTGGTTCAGAATTTCACCTGCACATATTTTAAAGCATCAGCTAGCAAGATACTGAAGCCAAAATTTATCTATAAACAGAAGTTGCGAGAGTAAGTAATAGCGAAATGCTGCTGCCAACACCACTCATCTAAACAGTAAAAAATCTCAGCGCAAGTACTTGAAACCTAATTTGCATTCTGGTGAGAAATAGAGAAAGAAGTTATAGTAAAGACGTAAATAATCATAACTGGTTAATTACAATAAAAACTCTAAAAATTTATTAATGATTATGAGAATATTGTGAAAAAATGAAATGGATATAATATCAAGCTAACAATATTTTCTTATTTGTATATGTAGTATAATCAGTTTCATCAGGATTACTAATGAAGGATTAACTATGAATAACATACTCAGATCCTTTTGTAGGAGAATTTTGGTACAGCCATCATTTTTTAGTTAATTTTTTGCATTTGAAAAAATTTTGTGTTTTGTTATTCCAGAATGGAATATGATATTTGAATTTAATGTGTATATTCCTTGAAATTTTCTTTATTTATCCAAATTCTCTTATTTCAGTTGATAATTGAAAGTTATAATTCTAGCAATATATCTATCTGCTTTTAAATGATTATAAGCCCCCTTTTTTGTGTGGGTATGCGTTTTAGGTGTAGAGGGAGAAGCATTAATGATAATTAGATATCAGTTACTGGTGAAATCATTTATTATCTTAAGAATGTAATTTTAATAGTTTGTTTTTTTCTTTTACTTGCTTTAATTTATAATAAAGAGAAAAAGATTTAGATTATTATTTTGTTTAATTATATGAAATGATTTAAAATGCATTTTTTAAAATTTTTGTAGCTTCACAAGTTGAGAGCAATTCAGACAGTCAATTAATTAAGCAACCTGGAATAAAGAGTGCTCAAGCGAATTCTATCCATCTTCAGAATAACACTGAACCATTTTCTAATAAAAATTCATACCCATATGGCTACATTTCTGGTCCATTTTCTTCAACAACTAATGTTAAGGTATGCTTATTTTTTATGGTTATATATTTCAGTGAACAGTATACAGGATACCGATTCAGAAGTCAAACAACAAAAATCAGCGTTAATTCACAAAATTTTCACAGGACTAGTTTCGATGGTTTTACCGAACCATCATCTTCAGCTGCAAAACCGCAAATGAACAAGATAGGAAATAATGTTTAGATAAGATAAGAAAGCCTGGACAAGAATAAGCAAGTGGCGCCATCTGTTGATGCAAAACCAGAACTAAAACATAATTTCTCTAAAAGGCCGAAGGCAAATTTGGATTGGAATTAGGATCGTTAACCAGAACAGAAAGATTTTTATGAATGTGAAATGCCTCTAGAAAATCCAGTTCTCCAATGGAAGATGTTTTTTTGAATAATTTTGGCAGCAGAAAAAATTGAAAGTGTAATTTTCGGACCAACAATGTTGAGCAACAGAAGACTTCTGTGTTTCCTTTTTCTAACATATGCCTCATGTTCTTTGACGCGAAATTTTAAGGCTCTCTTAGTTTGGCCAATGTAAATTAAACCGCACTGGCAAGGAATCCTATAAATACCCCAGGAGTTCATATCCGGAATGGGGTCCTTGAGTATAGAAGTTGGAATTTTATTGATGGGAGAGTAAACAACCCGAAAGTTAAATTTCTGCAAAATATGTGCAACTTTATAGCTAATTGATGGAAAGAAGGGAATGACAACAAAATTTTTATAATCTCCTAAAATAAGAGTGTGGCTTTTAGTTTGTTGAGATGAGAATTTTTTAACTGCTTGATTAATAATGTTGGGTGAAAAGCCCCTGTCAATAGCTATTGCTTTTAAATAATTTAGTTCTTCATCAAGGGCTAGTTTGGAGGAGCAAACTTGAAGAGCACGGAAAACATAGGAATAAAATGAAGCTAACTTTTGTTTAGTCGGATGACATGATTTAAAGTGTGGTGGAAGGCAAACCGATGAAGGTTTACGGTAAACTGTAGTACTGAAGTTGGATGTGTTACGTGTGACCAGAATGTCGAGAAACGGAAGAGAATTGCAAGTCTCAAGTTCAAAAGTGAACTGAATAGCAGGATCAATAGAATTCATTGTAGAAAGAACTTTATTTAAATCATCCTTCAAACAGGGTAAAAGTATCGTCTACGTAGTGGAACCATACCGGGAAGTTTAAAGTTTCAAACAATTTTGATTCATAATAATGCATGTAGATATCAGCCAGGATGGGACTGAGGGGGCTTCCCATGGCTAATCCCTCAGTTTGCTTGTAATATTTATTTTGGAAAACAAAATGTGTTTGTTTCAAACAGAGTTGAGTTAGAGAAATTAGCTCATCAATTTCGATGCAAGAGAAATGAATTCGCGAAGTCTGGTTTCTAGACATCTTAATGCACCCTCCACCGGGACATTAGTGAATAATGATTTTACATCAAAAGAAACCATGAGTAAATTACGAGGAGAAATGTTTTTTAACGTTTTTTACAAACTCTATTGAATATTTTATGGTGTAAATGTTATTGTCTAATAGAGTGGAAAATCTAGAAACTAAATATTTAGCTAATGGATACGAGGCAGTACCTAAATTTGATACAATAGGGCAGAAAGGAATACCACTTTTATGAATTTTGGGAAGAGCATATAATCTGGCACAATTCGCAACAGATGGGATAAGCGAATGTTTTAAGTTGCTTGAAATGATTTGCGAAGATAAAAAATTCTCATCTCAACAAACTAAAAGCCACACTCTTATTTTAGGAGATTATAAAAATTCTGTTGTCATTCCCTTCTTTCCATCAATTAGCTATAAAGTTGCACATATTTTGCAGAAATTTAACTTTCGGGTTGTTTACTCTCCCATCAATAAAATTCCAACTTCTATACTCAAGGACCCCATTCCGGATATGAACTCCTGGGGTATTTATAGGATTCCTTGCCAGTGCGGTTTAATTTACATTGGCCAAACTAAGAGAGCCTTAAAATTTCGCGTCAAAGAACATGAGGCATATGTTAGAAAAAAGGAAACACAGAAGTCTTCTGTTGCTCAACATTGTTGGTCCGAAAATCACACTTTCAATTTTTCTGCTGCCAAAATTATTCAAAAAACATCTTCCATTGGAGAACTGGATTTTCTAGAGGCATTTCACATTCATAAAAATCTTTCTGTTCTGGTTAACGATCCTAATTCCAATCCAAATTTGCCTTCGGCTTTTAGAGAAATTATGTTTTAGTTCTGGTTTTGCCAACAGATGGCGCCACTTGCTTATTCTTGTCCAGGCTTTCTTATCTTATCTAAACATTATTTCCTATCTTGTTCATTTGCGGTTTTGCAGCTGAAGATGATGGTTCGGTAAAACCATCAAAACTAGTCCTGTGAAAATTTTGTGAATTAACGCTGATTTTTGTTGTTTGACTTCTGAATCGGTATTTGTTCGGCGTGTTATTGTGTCTTAAGTATACAGGATGTTCCAGAACTCCACATGCAAACTTAAAGGGAAAGAAGAAAGTATCAATAGGAATCAGAGTAACATAGAAAAGCAGAGTCCCAGATGGATAGGTGGCTCCGTAAGTGAGCTCTCGAGGTTAGCACACAAGTAGTAGTTTTCTCATTGTAGCCAGCAACGGAGTGAGGTGAACATGCATCATTTTACTAACAATGAGTTAGAATGAAAGTCCAATAGATTCTAAAATGGTCCTTGTTGCAAGAATTGCTATCACTACTGTTTTAATCCATGAAACGTTTAGTATTTTTGAACATATTCGCTAGTCCATGCAGCTTAGATATCAGTCATGCATTAATGGCGAGGGGCGGAATTTTGAACACCTCCTGTAATGCTACTGTACTTTTCTTTTAGTATAGTAAAGTGCTTAATACTGCTTTCTGTATTGTGGCCTTGCTTTGTCTTTTATGTTGCTTTATAATTTGAGGGCAGCATGTGGGATCCTGCTTTCTTGTGTGATGATTGCAATTCCTATTGATATCGTCTATCTCTCCTCCAAGTTTATACGTGGAGTTCTGAAACATGCTGTACATTTATAGTACTGATATATTTTGGTATCTGAAAAGTCATAACTGATCAAAGAATTCATAAATTGTGTGACATATGATAATGCATTGAGATATAATATGAGTGTTAGGGGCATTTTCGCAACCTACCTAAATTAGCTGTTTCATAGAAATGACCTTTTAGGTTTGTTTTTTTCAGTTTCTATTTATATTATTAAAAGAACATTCAAGATAGTGCTATTAGGATAGGGCTGAAAATTGCCAATGATGTCATGAAAGTCTGCACATTAGGTAAATACTGTTGTTTATAGCCTAAATCTCATACAAGAGAAAATGAAAGAGGCTAGACTCTGTATGAAATAAGTTCTTCATTGAACAAGTGTGTTTACAAGCAAGTTCAGTTATGGCGTGAGGGATTTTATGCATTTTTATTCTAGGAAAACTGAGAATGCTTTTCTCTGTCTGGTATTTGAAAAATACTCATAGGATGAAGGTAGTGTGATGTTTTGGTCTTACTCAGGTGATACACTGAAGAATTGTGAATGTTAAAAGTCATTAAATCACAGTCTAGACTCTTACGCATATCTTTATGCAGGTGCAGTGCAGTTACATTCTTTCAAGCTAGTTATGTTATTTCCCATTGAGCTGGTGAGGGAAAAATACACGTGAACCACTTTCTTTTATGTTGCTTTCCAAAACTGAAGGAGGTGACAGTAAATTATAGATTGAAAAAGTTAGTTTGGCTGCATATATATGACTAAATATTATAGCAAGTAGCTTCATAATCATTCATGCATATGCATCATATTTTGTGTATTCGAGTGGGAACTATATAAGTTGTGCAGACTTGTAGTTTAACCCTCCGAGTGGCATGGATTTTTGGATCTTCTCATAAAGACCTGTATTGAAACCATATTTAATAGCTAGATTTGTATAATTGCTTATTTTAGTCTTGTTTTCATAAACTTCCAGTCATTCAGATGATACTTACATCATTAATGAATAAGAAAGCAAAATATTTAAAATTTTAATATATGCAGCAAGACAAAAAACTCATGATTGAATAAAGGTAATTATGCATTTCACGGTTAATAGGACATGTGACTACTTCTGATTCTCATATAAGCTCTGCTACAACGTTTCATTTTTTTTTTTTTTTTTCAATAAAGTGATTAAACACATCAGAGAGAAATAGTTGCTGTTTCTCCAATAAGACAGTTTCCAGTATTTCGAGATTAGCTAAAGAGAGCACATCTTTGATGAATAAAATTAACACAATACTGACCCTTCCAAAGTAATCATACCCTTATTAAACACTTTTAGAACTTTTACCATCCATGTGACCAGTTTTCTTACCTCTGGAAGAAGCAAACTGGAATAATTTTTCTCTTACATGCGATTAATGGAAAGCTATGAAGATTCTACTGGTCTCTAGCTGTTGCCTAGAATTTTAATGGGTCACGAATGCTTGCCAGAACATCCTCATTCAGATAGGCTTGGTTGACTTACTTAAACATATGTAACTTAATTCATTCAATATAACCATTGCAGTGAACTTGTAAAGTTATGAAATTTTTTGATCTGATGACTTCATGGTCAGAAGCTGATCATTTATCAATAACTGCTGTTCCAATAAGCTGAAAATTTTGTCACTAATATTTACTACACGCAATTAAACAGAGATATGAAATGTGCAAGAGTAGTAGATTTTCTTTTTAATGTTGAAATAAAAATTTTGTTTAGCATGGGAAGAAGAGAACTAAGACTTAAATTATTTTCTTAAAGCATGTATGTGTGTGTATATATAAAGTTTGCTAAGACGTGTAGCGCATACCTGCCAACTTTTACGAATTTTTCGTAATTTTTACGAAAATGCGTTTGTCTTTTACGATCGTAATCCATTTTTTACGATTTTTTTTTTCCTTTTTCAAGTGTTTTTAGTGATTTTCGTCGAAATTTTAGAATTTTTCACCAATTCAGCGATTTTTGCCAATTGCATCGTG